GAACAAAAAGACTGTCAAGATACTATAGTCGGGCAATGTCCTGATAGGTGAAATGGATGGACTTTTCAACTGTCTCAGATTCTGATTCTCTCCACATTTAATGTGAAATATCATAACCTCTTATATGGCATAGCATATATAATCCTGAAAAATATCCTGATTTTCCCCAAAAATGAATACTGTCAACTAAAAAACACTCAAGAAACTATTAAACCAGTAAATATAAGTTTGTAAAAGATTGCTGTGAACAAATCCTCAAGCCACAGCAATGTGTTCCACCACTGAAAGCCTAGGTTAGAAAAAAATCAGGCGTCATCCACTGAGAAAAGTACTTGGAAGCAGCTTGACACTCTTTCCCACGAACCTTCCAGGTGGATCTCTGGGGCTGCTTGGTTCCATACACATTCCCTTCCCCACTATAAGTCTCTGCATCCTGGAAGCCTTTCTTCTCCACTCCCAGGCCAGGCTCTCCATTTCCTTGGTATTCATCCTAGCTTCAGCTACAAATAAGCGACAGTGCTGAGAATACCTGGACTCCTTGCAGAAGTTATGTAGCCACATGTTCCGTTAAAAAAAAAAAAAAAAAATGGGGACACAAATCTCTTGCCCTATAATTAGAGAGTGGGAGTGACACACCAAACTGAAGGTGTCAACCTATGGGGAGGTCATTCAGAGGATGGATCCCATCAGGAGAAATTATTTGTAAATAGTCTGGATAAATACAAGTGTGCCTTTTCCTTAGATAAGGCACCAATGTGCTTTCAATTAAATGTTTGGAAGTAGGAGCCCTCTAGCCAGACACACTGGAAAACTGAGACAGCATGTTTACTGGCACCTGCATCTAAGCTATTCCACCTTGTATAGAGTTGATTAGTCCCTCTTAGAACTGTTCTCTTGCCTGCTGCCTTGCTACACAGCATTTCCTTAGCCAGCTAGCAAAACGCTGCAGTGATTGTTTTATGCAGGTAGTTCAAGCACCTGGAATAGCCAGCTAGTTAGACCACTCATATTTTTCAGGTTTGGGTTTTGCTGGGCTAGAAAGATTTGATATATCAGCTATCATTTACTCTCATGCAAATAACGGGATCAGGAATAATTCTGTAAATCTAAATTCATTTCTGAGTCATTCCAATAAAATGAGCAATCAATTTAACCAACTAGAATTCTTCACTTTAGGATCTGCATAGTATGGAACAACAGAAGCAGTAGAAATTGCAACAAGTCCTGGTCTACCAACGTCTATAAGACTCCTAAATACTCCTTCAAATGGAGTTTCAAAACCAAACTGAAAAATTTCATAGCTTTCCAGTCCTTCTGCCTTACTTGAGAAAGATTGTCTTATAGGCATCATTGGATATTGTCCTCCCCACCATAAGCCACCCATTGGCATGCTCATGTGTATCTGATACATCTAGCTACACTGTGTCCAACAACAAGAGATTTCACATAATTAGTTCCATGATTGACATGAAAGATTTATGAAAATTCACCAAAAGCTAAGTCACCAAGTTAGCCAATTTAAAATCACCATGTCAAATAACTAATATGCAGAAAATATCATCTAACTCCAATGCACTTTAGTTAGGAAAAATCATAAAAACATAACTAGTAAAACCAAATATTTAAACATTTAGAATACATTTCTTTGTTGTTGTTGTTTTTGTTGTTGTTTGAGACAGAGTAAGACTCTGTCTCCGGGCTGGAGTGCAGTGACGCGATCTTGGCTCACTGCAACCTCCGCCTGCTGTGTTCAAGCAATTTTCCTGCCTCAGTCTCCTGAGCAGCTGGGACTACAGGCATGTGCCACCACTCCTAGCTAATTTTTCATATTTTTAGTAGAGACTAGGTTTCATCATGTTGGCCAGGATGGTCTCAACCTCTTGAACTCGTGATCCACCCACCTTGACCTCCCAAAGTGCTGGGATTATAGGCATGAGCCACCGCGCCCAGCCTAGAATACATTTCTGGATTATCCATCAATCAAAAAATTTAAATAGAAGTTATAAAATACTTATAAAATACTAAGAAAAATAATGTCTAACTATAAAAATGCCAGGAGATTACATATCATGTATCAAAACTGTGGGACATAGTTAAAGAGTTCTTAAAGGTTCTGTTGTAAATGCTTACCTCAGGAAAAAAAAAAAAAAGAAATGTTCATCTTAATAATCATCCAACCATAAGGAGTTAGGGAAAAGGAACAGAAAAATAAATTCAAGAAAATGGAAAAAATTTTTAAAGTAAGAGCCAAAGTTAATGAAAATGGCAGGAAATATATAATGAAGAGAACTGCTAGGGTTTAAATGTTTATTCCCTTCAAAACTCTTGTTGAAATTTAATTGCCATTGTGATGATATTAGTAGGTGAGACATTTAAGAAGTGTTTAGGTCATGAGGGCTCTGCCCTTGTGAATGTACTAATACCATTATCACTTGAATGGGTTAATTACTGCAGAGATGGGTCTGCCTCTCCCCAACACTCTTTGCCCTTTCACCATATGATGCTTTCCACCATGGTATGCCAGAGTAAGAAGACCCTCACCAGATGCAGACAGCTTGATGTTGGACTCCCCAGCTTCCAGAACTGTGCACTAATAAATTTCTGGTTGCTATAAATCATCCAGTCTATGATATTCTGTTACAGCAACACAAAACTAAGACAAGACTAACAAAGTTCAAAAAGAATAACATATGAAAATCTCTAGAGAGAATAATCAAGAGAGAATAAAGGGAGGCTTTATATTTTTAAAACATCAGGAATAAAACAGGGCTAAAACTATAGTTGCTACAGAGATTAAACAGATATAAAAGTATTATGAACAACTTTGTGCCAATAAATTTGAAAAGTTAGATGAAATAAATAGAAAAAAATTCACCAGAAAAATCTTTCAAAAAAATAGAGAACATAAAGAGTCTTATAAGCTTTAAAGAAAATCAGTACTTTAAAATATTCTCATTAAACACACACACACATCCTCAGATCCAGATCAATTTCTAGGAAATGCTATCAAACATCACAGAATTGGTTAATTCTAATTTACTATAAGTGATTCCACATAATGGAAAAAGAAGGACCATTCTCCCAGTTCATTTGTGATTTGGCTTTGCTTTCAAAACCAGACAAGAGAATTCTAAGAAAAAAAAAAGGCTGGGCATGGTGGCTCATGCCTGTAATTCCAGCACCTTGGGAGGTCAATGCAGATAGATCACTTGAGCGCAGGAGTTTGATACTTGCTTTGGTAAGGTGGAGAAACCCTCTCTACAAAAAAATTTTAAAAATTAGCCAGGTGTGGTGCAGTGCCAGCTACCTGGGAGGCTGAGGTGCGAGTATCACCTGAGCTCAGGAAGTTGAGGCTACAGTGAACCTTGTGATTGTGCCACTGCACACAAGCCTGGTTACAAAAAAAGAAAAAAAGAAAGAAAATATAAAAATATATGCCAGTCTTGCTTATGAATGGATATAGATATGAAAACTCTAAAAACCAAAATGTTTGTGAAACAAATCAGACAACATATAAAAAAGATAACTTTTCCCTGTAATTCCAGCACTTTGGGAGGCCAAGGCGGGTGGATCACGAGGTCAAGAGATGGAGACCATCCTTAAGGATCTAGAACCAGAAATACCATTTGACCTTACAATCTCATTGCTGGGTACATACCCCAAGGATTACAAATTATTCTGCTATAAAGACACATGCAAACATATGTTTATTGCAGCAACGTTCACAATTAGCAAAGGCTTGGAACCAAACCAAATGCCTATCAGTAATTGAATGGATAAAGAAAATGTTGCATATATACACCATGGAATACTATGCAGCCATGGAAAAGAATAGGTTCATGTACTGGAAGCTATCATTCTCAGAAAACTAACACAGGAACAGAAAACCAAACACCACATGTTCTCACTCATAAGAGGGAGCTGAACAATGGGAGCACATGGACACAGGGAGGGGAACATCATACACTAGGACCTGTCAGGGGGAGGGTACAAGGGGAGGAAAAGTATTAGGACAAAAACCTAATGCATGTGGGGCTTAAAACCTAGATGACAGGTTGCTAGATGCAGCAAACCACCACGGTTCATTTATACCTGTGTAACAAACCTGCACGTTCTGCACATGTGTCCCAGAACTTAAAGTATAATTTTTTAAACAAGAAATATTGCTAAGGATTATAGATTAGCTACCCTTTAACGTAAATATTCAAATTTCTTTTTATATTAAAAAGCAGCTATATTGAGATATAATTGAAATACAAAAAAAAACAGTACATATTTAACATACATGATTTTATTAGTTTGGGCATATGGCTACATCCATGAAATGACCACAATCAAGATATGAATATAACTATCACTCCCAAAGTTTCTTCATGCTTTTTAAAATCCCACTTTCCATCCCTTTACCCTACCATCCCCCACCTCAGATAACAATGATCTGCTTCTTGTCTCTGCATTTTCTAGAGTTTTATTTAAATCAGCCATGCAGTATGCATTCTTGTCAGGTTTCTTTCACCTCACATTATTAAAGGAAAAAAAGAATGAAAAGCAAGCATTAGAGAAGAAAGATACTTGTAATACATATAACCAATAAGGAGGGTGGTGTTCAGAATATATATATAAAGAGCTCCTACAAATCAAGAAAAAACCAAACTTAATAGGAAAAATGGGCAAATGATATGGACCAGTACTCCACAAGAAGAGAAAACACAAACATACGGAAAGAGAGTTGAGGGGGAGTCATTCACAGAGTTCACCCCAGAACATTTGCATGGCTTATACTTTCATACCCACTATGAGTGGCCTGTTCTTTTCTTGGCTGGGAGTTAAATGAGGACCCTGTCCATAGATCAGGTGGCCATGGGGAGAACGGGTTTGATAGGGAAAACTAGAATTTGTGCTCTGGTGGCCATGGTGGTCCTGGCCCCATACGTATTCACTGTGAAGAGGAAGATGCAGCAGAACAAGATGAACACTGAATATCTAAGAAACGAATGCTTGTGCTCACTTTAGTAGCACATATACTAAAATTGGCATGATAAAGACAAGATTAGCATGACCCCTATGCAAGGATGAGCAAATTGATGAAGTATTCCATATTTTTAGCAATTCCACTACTGGGTATACAGCCAGAAGAATATAAATCATTCTACCATAAAGAAATGCACATGAATGTTCATTGCAGCACTATTAGCAATAACAAAGACACGGAATCAATGTCTTTGCAAGATATGCATGGAATCAACCTAAATGCCCATCAGGGACACATTGGATAAAAAAATGTAGTACATATGCACCATGGAATACTATGCAGCCATCAAAAGAATGAGAACATGTCTTTTGCCAGAGCAAGGGTAGAGCTGGAGGCTATTATCCCTAGCAAACTAACACAAAAACAGAAAACCAAATACTGCATGTTCTCATTTATAAGTGGGAGCTAAAGGATGAGAACTCAAGAACATAAAAGAGAGAACAACAGACACTGAGGTCTACTTTAGGGTGGAGGGTTAGAGGAGGGAGAAGGGCAGAACAAATAACTCTTGGGTACCAGGCTTAATACCTGGGCGATGAAATAGTCTATATGACAAACCCCCATGACATGAGTTTACCTATACAACAGACCTTTACATGGACCTTCAAACCTAAGAGTTAAAAATAAATAAATAAAAGTGACAAAAATGAATAGGTAAAAGTCTGTGGTCATGCCAATATGATGCCAAGATTCCAGGAGAAATGTACAAAATGTCCATAGCAGCATTATTGATAAAAGCAAAACTTAAAAAAAAGACTAGAAATAACTCAAAAGTCTATCAATAGTAGAATAGATAAATTGTGATATATTTATACAAAGGAACATTATACAGCAATGAAAATTATTGCTGCACATTTCAACATGAATTAATCTCAAAAACATAGTGTTGGAAAAAAGCAGCAAAAGGATACATGTAGAATTATTACATTTATACAAAGTTGAAAATCATGCAAAATTAAATTGCATATTGATTAGGAAAACATAAACAGGTGGCAAAGCCATGGGGGAGGGGAACAAGGGGGTAATCACACAACACTCAGCATGGCCATGAAAGTGGTGGCATTGAGAGGAAGGATAATATTATTGTGAAAGGACAGCAGAAGATTTCAATGTAGTGGCAATTTGTTTTTTGTTTTTGAGACAGAGTTTCACTTTTCTCCCCCAGGCTGGAGGGCAACGACTCAATCTTGGCTCACTGCAACCTCCACCTCCTGGGTTCAAGCGATTCTCTGGCCTCAGCCTCCTGAGTAGCTGAGATTATAGGAGTGCACCACTACATATGGCTAATTTTCGTATTTTTAGTAGAGACGGGGTTTCACCATGTTGGCCATGCTGGTCTTGAACTCCTGACCTCAAGTGATCTGCCCACCCTGGTCTCCCAAACTGCTGGATTACAGGTGTGAGCCACTGTGCCTAGCCAGTGTTACATTTTAATCTGGTCTGAGTAGAAGGATGTCCAGTTTATTCTTTATGCTTTATGTATATATTTTATTCTTTGATTTGAATATGATACATTACACATTTTTAAAAAAGCAATGGACAATATAATGAAAAGTGAAGAACTAAAGCTCTTGTCCTTTCCAATATGTTCAGCACACATTTTGTTTTGAATGTGCAGAGTTCTTAGGGTTATGCCTTACCAACATGAGCAGATAACAACCCAACTCTTGTTATGTTAATAGGAACACTGTGACTAAACCACTAAATTAAAATTTCACTCCACAGACTTACTGGTACCAAAATGGAAAGTCTCTTCAGAGAACTAAACACCTCAATTTGCTCACTTTTTTTTCCTTTTATTATGTGTTGACATTACCATTTATTATAGATAACCTACTAAATAGAAAGCCTTCCTTCTGTACAGTTCTTTGTACATTGTTTTGTCCAATCTTTATGGCTTTGGTGTAAAGTCAACAAATACAGACTAATAAAAATGAGCAGTCAGAAATTGTTATCTACTTATTTATTTATTTATTCATTTACTGTGACAGAATCTCACTGTGTTGCCCATGCTCTAGTGCAGTGGCTCAATCAGAGCTCACTGCAGCCTTGATCTCCCAGGCTCCAGTGATCCTCTCTCCTCAGCCTCCCCGGCAGCTAGCACTACAAGCATGCCACCATGCCCAGCTTATATTTTTGATTTTTAGTAGACACAAAGTCTCGCTATGCTGCCCAGGCAGGTCTCCAACTTCTGAGCTCAAATGATCCTCCTGCCTCAGCCTCCCAAAGTGCTGGGATTACAGGTGTGAGTCACATGCCCAGCTCAGAAAACTTTTTAAAGAACCATGTGACTTCTGCAAAAACATATTCAGTACTAAGTTTTAAACTAGATTACCTACTATGAGCTATTTTCACACACATACTTTTTTTTTTTTTTTTTTTTTCAAAAATGGCTGAAGCTAGTATTTAAGTCTGCATGGTAAGTTTTCCAGTTTTTCCACAATATTTTGGATGACAAATTTCATTGCTGAGGTATCAAAAGCACTAAATTCCTCCTTGGAAGTACTTTGGAAGTCTGCATGGTAAGTTTTGCAGTTTTTCCATAATACTTTGGATGACAAATTTCATTGCCAAGGTATCAAAAGCACTAAATTCCTTTTGGCAGTTTCATACCTGCCCTGTATCCTTTTCTCCTCAAAAAGATAATATTACAAGCATTATCTCTCTAGTTGTTACAAAACAGCTGAACCAGCCTGCAAATTAAAGGACTACCTTGAACGTAAATTTCTGATTAGGCCCATATTAATTATATGCCCCAAAGTTTAGATGATCATACAAAAGTAATTTTCTCACACTAAAGGTTTTTGCTTTCTTTTCAAAAAATTACAAAGGCACTGTGCAAACGTTACTATTCCTTTTCTCTGTTTCTAAATGTGTCTAGGTTCTCGTGTGAGGAAAGAGGACAATTAGCAAATGTAATTTTCTTATGCAGCCTCAGCTGGCTTCACATATCTCATAAATAGTTCTTATTGAAACATTCTAAAGATATACATAATTAGATAAAATTCATCCTAAGGCTGGGTGTGATAGCTCATGCCTGTAATCCCAACACTTGGAAGGCCAAAGTGGGACAATCACTTGAGGCCAGGAGTTTGAAACCAGCCTTGTCAACATAGTGAGACACCGTCTCTACAAAAGAAAAGGAAAAGATTAGCCAGGTGTGGTGGCAAACATTTGTAATCCCACCTACTTAGGAAGCTGAGGCTGGAAGATGGCTTGAGTTCAGCAGTTTAAGGCTGCAGTGAGCCATGATCACATCACTGCTGTCTAGTCTTGGTGAGAGTAAGACTGTCTAAAAAAAAAAAAAAAAAAAAATCCATTAGAGCTATTTCATATTCTGAAAGATCTAACATGGAACTTTCCCCTTGTTTATACAATTTTAAAGAGTAAGTGGCTATTCCAAGTCAATAAACTGGAGGCAAATTGAAAGATATTAATGTGTAGCTAATCTGTTTCACATGACGGACTTTCCATTCGCCCCACAATGGGCCTCAGTATGCGATTTTGTTAAGTAACATTCAGAATGGTAAACCTGATTTCAAAATCTTGCAAGCATTCAAAATATTCTGCCATGAAGCCTCTAACATTATAGAAGATATTTATAAAAATCCTACACTTAGGGGCAAGAGCACTTAACCAAGGCATTTCTTATTGCTGCAAAACTGCTCTGTATTAACCTCATGTTAAATCATTATAGAGAATGGTAGGAGGTAACACCTGAAGCTATTTTCTGAGATGAGTGACAGCTGGCCCCCTTGGACATGAGTGATGAGGAACCTATGGATGCTAAAGATTTTATAGTTTTTTTTTTCTTTTTACAGGATAAAAAATGAATCATTTGCCTTTAGTTACAGTTTCTAACTAATATTGTCACAAAGATAATTTCTGGTTGTGGTTTATGCAATGCAGCCTTATACTATTATTATCATATTATATCTGACTGGTATTAGGTACTGGGTGACCATTTGTGAAATGGAACTCAAGGAACGGTATATATTTTTTTGGTAAGAATCAATCCTATTTCCCTAACAGACAGTATGTGTCATGGTCAGATGATTCACATCGATGCCTTATAAATAGTGTGAATTTCTCAAAAAATGTGTCCACTGAGTCCTCCTTTCACACTAAATTCAAGATATTAGCCAAATCCTGCTAAGGTACACAGTTTTGACCATCCAGAAAAGACAGATAAAGGTTCTTCAGACATCAAAACTTGTTTTGAAGAGAGAGCAACAACATAGTCTGGCTTTACAGTGGCAAATGGCTCATAACTTTGGCTTTGAATCTTGATCTTCTAAGCCAGCAGACAAGCGGAGACATAAGCGTCATACCAATTACTCTAGCACTGCATGTGGTGAGCTAGCCTTTAAGACAGGCACTAAATGAGACCTGTGACCAGTTTAAACTGGAAAGAAATTGAGATAATTACGAGACTTACTGATTCCTCAGATAATAGCAATGATGGCTGTCATTTAACAGGAGGCTACTATACCACCAGGTTGTGCCAGAGATTTGCCTACATAGAATAAACACAGCAACCATGCAAAGTGGATACTATTGGCCCCATTATACATATGAGGAAACCGAAGCTAAGAGTGGATATTATTGGCCCCATTATACATATGAGGAAACCAAAGCTAAGTAGCTTATCTAATTTTAAGTAACTTACCAATAATTGAGCCAGGATGCTTACTCAGATGCTTGAGTCTAAAGCCTGGGCTCTTTTCACCACACTATGCTACTTTGAAGAATTAGCAATTTGCCCTCAAGGCCTCTGCCCATATTCGTGTTTAATATAGCTCCAAAACCATAAAGAAACTTGTCAATGGTACAAACAGTAGTTTATGTCCAGTCTAATGTACTAGAACAGAATGAGAAGTTAATATTGCTTGCCATTCTTCTTGTGACCACTTCAACACTTGGTCATTTTATTTTTTTCCTGTCTATGATTAAATATATTAGCAAAGATTGACTTCTGCAGAAGGAAAACACAGAAGAAATCAAATATTTCCCCCAAATCTTGAAGGTCTTGCTTCATGAAGAGAAGAAGCATCATGAATTGCAAATATATT